GCTGGGCCGCGGGGAGGGGAGGCAGGGGGGTGCTCCCCCGGCCGGTGGCATCCCGAGCCCCATCCCCTGTGCCCGAGGGTGGCCGAGGCCCGAAGGGGAACTGGGGTGCAGGGCTCCTGTGAGCACTCTTAGGGCAGGCCAGGGCAGATGGGGACAGTCTAGGTGCCTGCACTGGTTTTCCAGTGTCCCCCCGGCCCCTGCTACCACCTCCCACTTACCAGACCCACACACATCACCCACGCGGGCAGACACGGCTGGTCTGATGTGGAATCAGAACAGCAGCCACGGCAGCTTCACCAGGTCTGAGTGAAGACCGGGCCGCTTCTGTCGCCAAGGCCAGTGGTGCCCTTGCTGGTCAGGCACAGCGTGCTTGAGCTTGGCCAGGGAGGGTCACCCTCAACACCCTGGCCCAGGTGCCAACCGAGTGCTCCAGATGTAGGGGCTGACTCTGCACCCTGGGACCCCGCCCCAGAGGAATGCCCTTCCTCCACTAGGTGGGCCTCAAGGAGGCGCTCAGGAGAGGGCGTGTGTCCCAGCATCAGAGAGGCAGCCAGCCAGCAAGGCCCCAGGGCTGGGCGTGGGTGTGACCAGGAGGCTGCCCAGGGCATCGCCACACTGCCAGCCAGGCCGTGACACCCCTGGGCTCGGTGGGCAGGCCTCCCGGTGAGGAGGTCGGCACGGCCCAGACGGCAGGGCACGGCCAGACAGCTGGACGGCACCCTCCCTCCTCCGCACAGTCCACAGCAAGGGACGCCCCTAGAGAGGGCGAATGAGGAGCCCCACCCTGGGCAGAAGGCAGCCAGGCCCGCAAGGGGAGCACAGTGGCTCTAGGGACCAGAACACTGACTGGCGGCCCAAGCAAGGACCTTTCCTTTTTGTTCTTGTTCTGGTTTCAGATTTTTGCCATAGGGCATGTGCGTGCTGGATAGACAGACAGACGGAGAGGGAGCTCTCACTTTCCCTCTGGGGGTGGCCAAGCTGCAGTCCCTTCTCCACCCTCCCCTCAGGATGCACACATGCACAGGCACCCGGCGTGTTTTTCAACCCACCAGGTCTGGGAGTTGGCCATGTGGGGTCCTGCCCCTTAGCCACCATGCCACTGGCCCCCTGGGCATTTCTAATAGCAGGTGAGTTTCCCAACTTGCTCATCAGGCCTTCTGAAACACCCTCGCAGAACTGCAGGCATGCGCACGTGGAGGCATGCACACGCAGAGAACATGTATGTTCAGAGCGTGTACTCATACAGACACAGGGACATGCAGGCATGCGCACGTGGAGGTGTGCACACGCAGAGAACATGCATGTTCAGAGTGTGCACTCATACAGACACAGGGACATGCAGGCATGCGCACGTGGAGGCATGCACACGCAGAGAACATGCATGTTCTGAGTGT